ACTAACTGCATGAGTAATCCTAGCTTACTATGCAATCCCCATAACTTACATTGCATGTTCAGTTGATAGAACCATGGTATAATAAGATTGGGTCTCTGTTTGCTATTGAGGTTCAGAGGACTCTTAGCCATTGCTGCAGATTTTGGGGAATATTGGTTGCCCTCATTATTGCTACCGTGACACTCCTTGCTACTTCTCTCTCCACGCTTTTCTCCAGTCTGGGGTTTGATAATTTGCTTGAGGTTCAGGAGTTTTTGCTGTCATTAGCTTCTGGGCCTTCAGATCAAGAACCTGGTCCCAAATGTCTGAGAGCAAGCTGGGTGATTGTCCAGACCAGGAGAGCCCAAGAGCCATGCATTTGTACTCCAAGACTAAGGGATTCTTCTATTAACCCATGTGACTTTATTTGCTTTGCCCCAGGTATAAGAGGAGTACAGGAAGAATTCTATTGAAATTGTGACAAATATGCCTGCCTTGAGTCCTCTTACATTGCACTTGTATTTGGGGCTTCTGTGTTGTTTCTCCTAGGGATAAGTTAATCTGTTTTTCTTGAGTTTTTAATCTCTTGGCTTGAGTTCACAAGCGTTTGTACACGACCCTGTTTCTAGAGACAGTTGTACATGGGATATTGGAGTAGTGAGTGCTGGTCCTGTATTTTTAGGATTGAAGCCTAGCAATGTTTGAAGCAGAGCACCCTATGAATAGGAATCTCCATCCTAAATGGACAGACCTTGTCAATTCTGAGAAGCCCTAAAGGGAAGAAGCAGAAAAGCACAGGAAGAGGAAGATGTTGCTAGCTTCCATTGCCTTATGCAAAAATTGTTGCTACTTCCCTGAGCACCAAATTCACCTGGTACTCTTTCCTACACCACTCTCAATCACTTTGTGTTGTTGCAAGATTTAAACTAATTTCCAGGAATTGTGATGCACTGGATTGAGGAATAAGCCAGTGCATAGTTATGAGAGGGTACCTGAGGCTGTGGTTTGTGATGGTGGGGTAATTGTTATGACTGAAAGTATCTATTCATGTAGTAATCCCTAATCCTCTTCTTGATAGTTTATTCAGCCTGTTACCACTATGATTTTTAGTATGTCATCATGCAAACTCATGTTAAATGTCCCCTCTAAGGATTTGCTAATGCTAGCACTTATTGGTTGGTTGTGCCTGGTAATACAGAAAATATTGGTCAGGGACATTTGGCCTTAAAAGAAAAATCACAGAAGAAAACTTGAGGTAATATGTCTTACTCAAGGTTGTATGCTTTGTAGGTGATGCTTATCTTCAGGTGTGTCACTCCTATATGAAGTATTTTATGTTGTATCTTTAGGAAGGTCAAGGTTCTTCCCAAGACTGTTTAGGGAAATGAACATTAGGGACTCTTCAAACCTGGGTTTACCTCATCTTTACTCATGTCCCTTTGGCCAAAGCATGTTAAATGGAAATTGCAAGTCATTGCATAGGTGTGCAATGGGTACAGTGAAATGTGCCATTTGACATCCGTTGTTGAAATATTATAACACAAGAAATATATTCTGTATACATTTTTTCTCTAACTTTGGGTGAAAACTACTGAGTTACATCATACATGCTTTCCCTGGTGTTTAAATATGTAAATGATTGATGTAGAACACAATTTCCATTGGATTCCTAGGATACCTTAGCATTAAAAAAAGCAGTTCCTACAACCCGAAGTATATTCAGTAATAAATACTTTTCATGGAAATGTGATATGTTTTTGCTTTCAAGTATTCAATAATATTTGTGGGAACATTCATTTTTTCAAATTTAATGTGTACATAAACATAGAAATTAGTTGGTTTAATAATATCTATCTACCAGGAAATGGACTGGATTTGTGTTTCTTGTAGACTTTAATGCTTTGTCTGAGATATTAAAGATTCATTTAAGACACCTTTATGGTTTTGCAGCCCATGTATTATGTTTGCAAGAGAAAATTCTGGACCCAAAATCTCACAGATTCATTTCTGAATACGTCATTTGCCTTATATCCCAGCCATGCTTCCAGAGTCTTCTGTTCATTGTCAGCAGCAAGACAGAATGAATGGATCTCTGGTGAGTTTTTTATTTTATTATTTCTCATTTGTTTTCCATTCCATTATATGAACCTAAAGATGTGCAAGAATTAAAAATACTACAAACCACACAGATTTAGCCTCAAGAACATATTCATAAATCAGATAAAGATGGCTTGTAGATTATCAGATTAAGATTGCTTGTAGGTTTAGCAGATTAAATGGTTATATTCTTTCTAAGTTGAATTCAGATTGGCTTCAGAATGTCTAGGTTTCATCTTGTCATAACATGTAGTCATACCTGTTATATGACGTAGTGACACCGAGCAGGTTACATCTCATGGAAGGTGAAGGGTAGATTGCAACCAGGTCTCATCCTCATGAGTAACATTAAACTATCTCAATGAAATTTTGCTGGAATTGCTGAAATAGTGTGGTCATACGTACCTTCGTGTGTTCTTAAGGAATGATTAACGTATATGTACTTAAATTACTCTCCATATATACTTCTTGGACTACTTCATGGTCTTGGTCTTACTTGAAGCTGAGGCTATATTTGTTGCTAAACTTTATGGTCTTTTTACAAAATCTTGTTTGTTTTCTAATGTATCCTCACAAGATTCCTTTCCTCTATAATCTCTCTCTACTATTGGTTTTCTACTCACTTGTGTTGGTTATTTTTCTGTTTCTGTCTCTTTGTATGTATCTTTGAATCATTTTTTCTTACTTTTCTCCTTCTGTCTTTCCTCCATATGTCTCTCAGTTTTTTCTTTTCTTCCATGATCTATCTGGGAACTAGTTTTTCTTAGTGATCAGCTTTATGTTGCTGACATGGCTCTTAGGATTGACATTTTTCTTACCCACTGTATAGGAAAATTGTTGCCTAGAGAGTTCTACAGGATTCCAGAAACAAAGAAAATTAGAGAAGCACAAAAACATAAACAGATAGACTTAGGGGAAACCAGGGTTCTGAAGCCTCTCTGGCACTTGGTCTCTGGTTGCCAGCAAGCAAGCATAGTTCCTTGAGTTCACACAGGGAAGATTACCATTGATAACATGCAAAATCTAAGTATCTATATTAATATTACAATCTGAGCCACAACAGATTGTGAGGCAAACATGTTTCCTTATTCTCCTGAGACAGAAGACTCTTGCCCAGAGAAAATGCAGACATGAAGTTCACCTTACCTAGCCTTCAAGGTGAACAGCAGCTCAGTTTCAGATGCTATCTTTCCAACAGTAAGGTAAAGGCCTGCACTCCAGTCTCTTAACCATCTCCAGAATTCTCTTTTAACCCTTCTGCGGCCAGCTCTCAGTTCTCTCAGTGCTGTCAGGCTGGAATTCCAACCTCTCAAACCTTTTTCCCCCTTCAGCTCAACTTCAGAGTTCCATACAGAAAAGGACGTGCTTCATCCAATTGTAAACTACAAGAAAATTTGATTTCACCTGATTCTGTTATCTTTGCTCTAACTTCATTTGTCATGGTACTCAGTTTGGTTTTTCCATACCACTACTTTTAAATATTTTCATTCACTGCCAGTATGAGATAGGTAGTTTTGATTAAAAAAAAATTAATACAGTGATGAGGATTTCTCTATTAGAAATAACATTTGTTGCAAAATCTCACAGAAGTTTGCTCAGGAATTGATTTTGATCTCTGAGGAATTTCACTATTAACTAATAAAAGTGGAAATATATCTTTAGGGATCTACTGGAGAAATGACTCAGGAATATTTAACAAATTTGAGCATTTGGTCATATTTATCATTTTTGTCACCTTGAGTGTTCCTTGAGTCTCTATCAATTTGCCTCCACCTTCCATGAAGGTCTATTAAAATGAAAATCTTCTCAAGGAACATTTTATTCCCCTCCCACCTATATTTTGTATTGTAGAATGTAGAGAAAGTTTACAAAACTTCATGGTAGCAGTTCTTATTTACATAGGAAGGAAATATCAGGATGTCTATGACCACATTTCAATATTTAGTATTTAAACCAAACATGGTTAACCTAGGATATTTTTATGTGGGAACTAAATCAAATCTTATAAGGGCCCAATAAATCATTAGCTACTTTCTGGAGTACTGTTACTGTTTTTTGAGCATTCATGTGGACACTGCTTTTCTTTGATCTAGTAATGTTCTATGTTCTGTATACCATGTGATATCCTGAATGTGTTCTGCTTGCTTATGAGAGTACTTGTTAATAGAAGGTCTAAATAGAATTTATGGTGAAGCAGTAAATGTAAATGCAGAGAAAATATTTGTTTAATTCATTGTTACCCTTATATGTACTAAAATTTTATCAAAAATAATAATATAATTTTTAGACACCACCTTAGACTTAATGTCATCCTGCCACATTGTTATCTCCTTAGAATTTTCATCTTGTCTCTATTGCTAGCAGCAGAAATGTATTTGCATTCATTAGGGAATCTGTAACTTTTTATTGGTCTTGGGGCTTGAATTCTGGGCCTGGTTATTGTCCCTCAGCTCTTCAGGTCAAGGTGAGTGCTCTACTATCACTTGAGTCATAGTGCTACTTTCAGTTTTCTGGTGGTTTACTGGAGATAAGTGTCTCATGGACTTTCCTGCCTGGGCTGGCCTTGAACCTTGATCCTCAGACCTCAGCTTCCTCAATAGCTAGGAGTACAGGCATAAGCTACCAGTGCCCTGCAAATCTGTGTATTTTAATGACCAGGTTTACGTATTGTCAAATATTTCTAATTTGCTATTTAATTTTCCTGTGAAAAAATAACATAGCCAGCTGCAATCATTTTATGTAAGACAAAAGCATACTTGCAGCATAATGAAATTCCAGATTGGAATTCTCATGACCCAGGTCTAATTTCTTGATGGAAATGTGCCATTACAGAAGCTGATATCATTTGATGATGTGGCTGTGGACTTCACCTGGAAGGAGTGGCAGGATCTGGATCCTGGTCAGAGGACCCTACATAGAGAAGTGATGCTGGAGACTTATAACAACCTAATGTCCTTGGGTGAGCAAAGGTCACTTTTATTTGGAAAGTCAAGTGCTTTTATTTTAGTAGACATTTGACTATGTTATTTAGGTACAAGATTCCAGTCCATTCCCAGGTAAAGAACTGCTAGTATAAAATCCAGGCAAATTCAGGTCTGGGAGCTTGATGTTGTTTGCCTTTCACACTACTGCTTGAGCCACAACTCCATTTTGGATTTTGTTTTGGGGTATATTCTGTGTTTCTGTGCCCAGGTTGGTTTCAAGCCTGCCTCTTCTGATCTTACCTCCTAAATGTAGTGTTACAAGTGTAAGCCTTTGGACCATTACATTTTGTTAAAAAAAAAAAAAGATTCCAGTCCAATGCAAGTGTCATTTCTTTCTAAGGGAAACTTCAACTTCATTATATGTAACTCAAGAGCTAATTTTATTCTTATTCATTAAGAAGGCAAATTAGTAGTTGGACAAAAGTTCTAAACTATGATCCACTAACAGGAAACTGACTTCCCAGACTTGGGGTGATTATGATAGGTGGATCTACAGTCTAGATAGAATATACATTACTACTGTCAGTATGATCTAGAAATCAGTAGGTGAAAGTGTGAAAGTGTGTATTTGTAAGCCAAACCTGACATAGGTTGCATTGCTTCAAGCTTGGAATCCTAGATACTCTGTAGGCTGAAATCTGAAGATTTTGGTTTGAAGCAAGCAACTGTAGAAAAATGAACACGAGACTCTTATCTCAAATTAACCATTTAAAAACTAGAAATGTAGCCAAGACACAAACTAGTAGAATGCTAGATTTGAGCAAAAGTGCTGAGTTCAAGCCACACATTGGCAAAATAAACCCAAAGCTGAGGGAAAGTACACCATGGAGATGTTAAGAATTGAGACACCATGGGTTGGGAAGGTGGTTCAGTGGTAGAGCCCTTGCCTTGCATGCTTGTGGCCCTGTGTTCGATTCCTCAGCATGAAAAAAAGCAGAAAAAAAAGCCAGAATTGGCGTTGTGGCTCAAGTGGTAGAGTGATAGCCTTGAGCTTAGGAGCTGTGATACAGCTCCCAGGCTCAGAGTTCAGGCCCCACAACCAATCCTACCTTTCCAAAAATAAAACAATTGAGATACTAGATTTAGGAGCAACCCAGTGAACAGGATGTCTGCAACATTACATTAATGATGACCCAGCAAGAGCAATAGTTCTCCACTATTTCTTATTCACAGGGCACTGTGTTCCTAAACCTATATTGATTGTGAAGCTGGAGCAAGGTGCAGAACCATGGATGAGAGAAGGCTCAGAAGAGAATTTCACAGGTGAGTTAAAGCATCTTGAATAGTGATGTTGGGTCCAGAGCCCAGTTGGTCTGTTTATCTTGAGCTGTACAGAGCAATGGTATTCCTAGTGCCCTGGAGTCATATGTGGCAGAGAACTAGGTGATCCTTTGTCTCAAGGAATTGTCAATCCAGAATTCTCGTGGAGACAAACTGAATTTGATGTTCCAGTGTAGTTAATGTTAGCAATTCTTTTTGTCTGTAGAGTGCCACGCCGACTCCAGTGGAGTCTGCTTAGCATGGGAAACCATCTATCAGACCAAGATACGGGCTTCAGAGACCTATCTCTGAGTTTTGGGACTTCACTGAAGTCTACCTCAGAGAATGGGGCTTTACAGAAACCTATCTCCAAGTTTTGGGACTTCACTGAAGTCTACCTCGGAGAATAGGGCTTCTAAAAGGCCTACTCCTGGAAAAAGGCTGGCAAGCCCCTGGGAAAGATGTGTTTCTGCCTTTCTTTTCCTCACTGTATAAGAGTGCCTATTAATCTTTTACTCTTTCTGCTGCTCATTGTGTTTACTCATTGTCAACGTTCCCTTATTCAAAGCTCTTTCTTAAGAGTGTTGACGACTCCAATATCTGATGAATGTCTCAAAAATATGACTAACTCACCAGAGTTAAGTGCTACCCTGCAACCCCTCTTATGAAGGCTAGTAGACAAGTTATAAGCAAATATAAAAGTATTGGGGGTTTCACAAAGTCACTCCAGCAGAAGGAATTGTAAGAAATTTACAAGAAGCTGTAGGCGCGGCTAGAACAGAAGGAATGTATGGCAATTGCTGAGATAACTACTTAGGAGAAAGAACTTCCTGGTACTCTCATTTACTGAGACTTGCTAGATCTAGGCCTCCGTGACCTTACTATTAAAGAAGGAACAGGAAAAATCTTATGGGATAATTAAGGCCTCTATAGAAATAAGGTAATGGTTAGTTGGTGACAAACGTCGAAACCCATTATATTTCTTAGAGATAAGCCGGAAACAAGTGCCTTTCAGGCCACCAGCTGGTGACCACCTAAGAATGAAGCCCTGCAGCAAGATTGTGTAAACTTTTGTCCTTCCAGCCGACCAGCTGGTGACCATCCAAGAACGAAGCCTTGCAGCAAGATTGTGTAACCTTTTGCCCCTTTCTTATGAAGACTTCTGTTATAAAAGTTTGTTATCCTCTGCATTAAATCGCACTCAGCACTCAGCATCCACTCCTAATGTGTGTGAGTTGTCTGTTTGCCGTCTCCCCATCCTATTCCAGGTTCCTCCCCTAGGTATCCTCCGTCGTCCCGACAGAAGCCGGTCCGCAGCAGTAGAGAAGTCATTCATAGAGAGAAAAAGACAATAAGAAATATAGTAAGGAGATCTCATTTTATTTTAAACTAGTATTTTGCAGGTAGGAGGAAAATAGGATCAGGACAATTTCTTATCAGTGGTGCTGGGCATAGAGGGAGATTCAGAATGGAAGCATTAAGAGTATGGAGATGAATAATTTGAGTAAATATTTCCTTAAGAAAAATATAAAAATCTGAAATACAGAAAAACATTATTTTCCATTGTAAAATGTCAGTACTACTTTCTTAATTACTAAATTGCAGAGAAATATATATATTCTGCATAAAGCAATGCTTTGATATTTGAAAATATTGTAACAGAATGTGAGGAAATATCTTTACATTAAGGAATTTATGGATCTCATTTATGTTTTTGTCTATATTTCTATTATTCATTTTAGATGTCCCAGAAATGGAGGATGTGATTAGCACCTGCCAGGAACGTCACAATAAATATCTCTCTGAAGTAGCAGTCATGAATTGTAACCCAGGGGAGGAAAAAGTGAGACTTATAAGAAGTTTTCATTTGAGCTCCATACAGAAGTCAGAACTGATTAAGAATAATGGGAACTCCTTAGGGATGAGGATAGAAAAGGTCACTGGCTGTCAGAGCATGGGTGTTTTCAGTGAGCCTGGTAAGATGTGTGCTGCATATAGTTCTCATGTGTCTTCTGTAGTTGATGAACGAAAACAGTGTGAAAAGTCTTTCACTGAGAAGAAACACCCTGTTGTCCCTCAGAGGACACACACAGGAGAGAAACCTTATGAATGTAACATGTGTCAAAAGTCTTTCACCAAGAAATCAAAGCTTACTGTCCACCAGAGAACACACACAAAAGAGAAACCTTTTGAATGTAACATTTGTGGAAAATCTTTCATATGCAAGGCATATCTTACTAGACACCAGAGAACACACACAGGAGAGAAACCTTATGAATGTAACATGTGTGGAAAGTCTTTCACCTGGAAGACACACCTTACTGTCCACCAGAGACTACACACAAAAGAGAAACCTTTTGAATGTAACATTTGTGGAAAGTCTTTCTCCTGGAAGGCATATCTTACTCTCCACCAGAGAACACACACAGGAGAGAAACTTTATGAATGTAACAAGTGTGGAAATTCTTTCACCCAGAAATCAAAGCTTACTCGCCACCAGAGAATACACACAAGAGAGAAACCTTATGAATGTAACATGTGTCAAAAGTCTTTCACTGAGAAATCAAAGCTTACTCGTCACCAGAGAACACACACAAAAGAGAAACCTTTTGAATGTAACATTTGTGGAATGTCTTTCTCCTGCAAGGAATATCTTATTCTGCACCAGAGAACACACACAGGAGAGAAACCTTATGAATGTAAGATGTGTGGAAAGTCTTTCACCCAGAAATCAATGCTTACTCGCCACCAGAGAACACATACTAGAGAGAAACCTTATGAATGTAACATGTGTCGAAAGTCTTTCACTGAGAAATCAAAGCTTACTCGCCACCAGAGAACACACACAAAAGAGAAACCTTTTGAATGTAACATTTGTGGAAAGTCCTTCTCCTGCAAGGAATATCTTCCTCTGCACCAGAGAACACACACAGGAGAGAAACCTTATGAATGTAAGATGTGTGGAAAATCTTTCACCCAGAAATCAATGCTTACTCGCCACCAGAGAACACATACTAGAGAAAAACCTTATGAATTTAACTTGTGTTGAAAGTCTTTCACCCATAAAAGAAACCTTACTGTGCACCAGAAAACACACACATTAGAGAGACCTTATTAATGTAACATGTGTGGAAAGTCCTTGTCTTGGAAGTCAAGCATCAATGTCCATCAGATAATACACACAGGAAAGAAACCTTATGAATGTAATATGTGTGGAATGACTTTCACCTGGAAGTCAAACCTCACTGTCCATCAGAAAACACACAGGAAAGAAACCTTACAAATGTCGTATTTGCAGAAAGATTTTCAGCCAGAAGCTCCAACTTACTATCCACCAGAGAGCACACACAGGAGAGAAATTTTATGAATGTAACCTATGTGGAAAGTCTTTCATCCAGAACATACACCTTTCTGTCCATCAGAAAAAAAACCACCAGAGAGAAATGTTATATATGTAGCAGGCATGGAAATTCTTTCTCCTGGAAGGCACAACTTAACATCCATCACAGAACACAAGGAGAGAAACCTTATGAATGCGACCAATGTGGAAAGACCTGGAGGTCACAGCTTAACACACGTAAGTTCACTCACACAAATGAAATAACTTAGGATTGTACCAAATGGGAAAGTCTTTGATCTGTAAGAAAATTGAAATTGCAATACAGAACCAATACAGGATAGAGACCTTATGATATAGCAGATGTGGAGTCCTCAAACTACAAGACACAGCTCAGGGTTCATCACAGAACACACAAAACACACACAAACACACACACACACACCCTCACACACAAAGAGGAGAAAAAGCATATGTAGAAAAAATGGAAAACTTTTCTAGAAAAAGTAATAACAATAATAAGGTCTTTCTTGGAGGGGTAACAATGCTCGATAGAAAATGTATTCATGACCTAACTCATATAATGGTATAACCAATCGATACAGTAGCTTTACAATAAAATATATATTTAAAAAATATGATGGATTAATAAAGACTAGAATCTCTGCATTTTGTCTTAGGGGAGAACCCCAAAGTGTCTTCAGTGCTTGCACATTTCTTTAATCACTGTTGATGAACAACTTGTGATTGATTCACTCTTAGCCCATTTAGTTGTTCTGCTGAGTGAGCTATAATAAAACACCAGTGTGGAAGATGTGTCATATCTGTGTTATCTCATAGAAGGCCAAAGTAGATATGACATTAGGAGAAATAATCAAGCACACAAATATATTGATCAATCTCTCACAAAAATTGAAGTTAACAAAATAATAAAATCATCTGCCATTTGAGCTACAGCATCACTTCTAGGCCCTGAGAGGAAGGAAGGAAGGAGTAGGGAAGTGAGAGAGGGAAAGAGGAAGCGAAGGAGTGAGGAAGAAGGAAGAAATGAACTATTCAAAAGAAGAATGTTTAATTTTTGGTGAATGTGAGAATTATTCTTTCAGAGGTGGGCCTCAAGAAAAATGGCTTTTAAAAAAGCAAATTTTTGAATGTTACAAAAAGATAAAGAGGATGTAACATTTTATAAATTGATTTAATAATACAGTAATATTTAGTAAGGAGGTCAGGTGTGGCTGGTGCCCTATTGGCCAGATGGTGGATGGTGGGGTCTGGCATCTTGTTTTCATGCAGGGGGAAAGAAATGCCCCATACATCACTTACCACCCAACTGATAGGTGTGGCTGGATCCCTGCAAGCAGGCATGGGCATTTGGCTGATATGTTACTCAAACTGATAGTCCAGTGCCTGGTACTGGGAATTTCCTGTAGACCTGCCTCCTGCTTAGGCCCTACTTAGGCTGGTCCAGCAGTGGCACCAGATGCCATGCCACATATCTCTGTAATCATGTCCTGTGTGCTGTCTCCTGGCTTGTCTCTGGTCATCATAGTGTCCCAATTCAGCACTCTCTTGGTGCTGATTGGTTTCTCGTTGCTGTTTTTATTCTCCTCCCCCAACCTTC